TCGATTCCTTAGCACCACATAAGCAAAAAGAAAAAAGCCGGAAGTGGCGCTGTGGCTCAAGTGGTAGAGCGCTAGCCTTGAGCTGAAGAGCTGAGGGACAGCGCCCAGGCCCAGAGTTCAGGCCCCATGACCGGACCCAAAAAAAAAAAAAAAAAAAGTCTCCAGGAGACTTTCTTGGCTCAGCTGGCTTCGAACCACAATTCTCAGATCTCAGGCTCCTGAGTAGCTAGGATTACAGGTGTGAACCACTGGCACCCAGCTTGAGTGAGAAGCTTTATACTTATTTTTTTTAACTGTATTTTTTTGTCTTTTCTTTTTTGGTACTGGGGATCAAACCTAGGACGTTGTACTTGCTAGGCAAATGCTTTGCCACTGAGCTACATCCCAGCCCTATACTTATTATTATTTTTTTGGGTCTGGTCTTGGTGCCTGAACTCTGGGCCTGGGCGCTGTCCCTCAGCAATTCAGCTCAAAGCTAGCACTCTACCACTTGAGCCACAGCGCCACTTCCAGCTTTTTTCTTTTTGCTTATGTGGTGCTGAGGAATCAAACCCAGGGCCTCAGGCATGCAAGGCAAGCGCTCTACCACTGAGCCACCTTCCCAGCCCTATACTTATTTTTTTATCTCTACAACAGTCCCATCAGATAAGTACAGTTTGGGTTCTTATTTTGCAGATGAGGAAACTGCATTGAAAAAACAAGTCAGCTAAGTCTAGCTTCCAAGGCAAAGACAAACCTGGTATCTATGAAATGCGTCTTTATTAAACTATGACTCATTCCTCTAAACTTCAATATTGGACTCACAAGGGTGAAGCCATGAGAAAGAGAGGAAATTAAAGACTGAACCAATTAAGCAGGGTTACTTGGCACCTACCAAGGGCCAAACCAAGCAGTTCAATCTGTAGCTTGTCTAATAATGACAGTGATTTCAACAAGATAGAGGTCAGTTTAGGACAGCTTTTCTCAAAGTGTGGATCCAGAAATAGTATCACCAACAACATTTAGGAACTTGTCAAGAATAATAATTCACACTGGGTACCACTGGCTCACATCTAATCCTAGCTACTCAGGAGGCTGTAGAAAGTCCATGAGACTCTCATCTGAGGCGCTTATCTACAAATAAGGCCAGAAGTAGAGCAGTGACTTGGCCTTAAGCAAAAAAAAGAATAGGAATAGTGCCCAGGCCCTGATTTCAAACCCCAGAACTGGCTCATGTGCATGTGTAATAATAGTAATAATAATACTTCAATAATAATTTTCTACTGCAGTCTTGACCCACTGGATCAGAAACTGGGGGTAGCGGCCAGCAGCCCACCTCTTCTCATGGTTCTCATGAAGTAAAGAATTGAAAGACACTGGGGCTGGGAAGGTGGCTCAGTGGTAGAGCGCTTGCCTTGCATGCATGAGACCCTGGGTTCGATTCCTCAGCACCACATAAGCAAAAAGAAAAAAGCCGGAAGTGGCGCTGTGGCTCAAGTGGTAGAGCACTAGCCTTGAGCTGAAGAGCTGAGGGACAGTGCCCAGGCCCAGAGTTCAGGCCCCACAACTGGACCCAAAAAAAAAAAAAATTGAAAGACACTGAACTAGAGTTTAGAAAGCACATCAGTTCTCAGAAATTTTTTTAATCAAAATTAGAAGTGATTTCAGTTCTCCAGGAAATACTAATATAACCAATAGTCACAAATCCTCTGTTGCATATCAAGCACTGTACTGCACACTAAAGACATAATGGTGAATGTGGAATATGTATTCTAACAAATAATTCCTTTTTTTTTTTTTTTTTTGCCATTCCTGGGGCTTGAACTCAGGGTCTAGGCACTATCCTTTAGCTTTTGTGCTCAAGGCTAGAGCTCTACCACCTGAGCCACCTCTCTACTTCCAGCTTTTTGGGTTGTTAATTGGCAATAAGTCATAAACTTTTCCTGCCAAGGCTGACTTTGAACCACGATCCTAAGAGTTCAGCCTCTGGAGAAGCTAGGATTACAGATATAAGCCACCACTGTGAGCTCACATCTGTTTGCTCCACTTGGTTGTCCAAAAAAAAACCCCAGCTTCCTCAAACCTCTTCCTCCACACCAAACAAACAGCAAAAGAAACTGCCCCTCACAAAAATGTTTGGGGGAGGAGGGCAATAGGGAGGGCACAAATGGAGAGAAGGGTGAGCAAATGCAGCAGAGCTTGAATATGCATGGATATACAAGTCTAAGGGTCAGAGAAAGGTCTGGACGGAGGAAATAAATTTGGAGTTATAAATAAGTGAATGGACATGTAGAAAACTAAAGCTAGATCCTTATATATCACCCTGCACCAGAATCAACTCCAAATGGATCAAAGACCTTGAACTCAAAGCAGACACTCTGAAAACATTACAGGATGGAATAGGAGAAACCCTGGGTCTCCTTGGCTCAAGCCGAAATTTTCTGAATAGAGACCCGGAAACACAACAAATCAAAGAAAGGCTGGACAAATGGGATTGTATAAGGTTGCAGAGCTTCTGCAGGGCAAATGACATAGCTAGCAAGATCAATAGAAAGCCCACGGACTGGGAGAAGATCTTTACTAGCCATACAACGGACAAGGGTCTCATATCTAAAATATACTTGGAACTCAAAAAATTAAACCACCCAACAACAAATCCTCAAAGAAACAACTGCCCAATAAGTAAGTGGGCGAAAGACTTAAAGAGAAGCTTCTCTGAAGAAGAAAGAAGGATGGCCAATAGACACATGAAGAAATGTTCAACATCCCTAGCCATAAAAGAAATGCAAATCAAAACAACATTGAGATATCACCTCACTCCAGTTAGAACAGCAAAAATCAAGAACTCTAACAACAACAGATGCTGGAGGGGATGTGGACAGAAAGGAACCTTACTTCATTGTTGGTGGGAATGTAAACTTGTTCAACCACTTTGGAAAGCAGTATGGAGGTTCCTCAAAAGACTCCACATAGAGCTCCCCAATGACCCAGCAATCCCACTTTTGGGCATTTACCCAAATGATCACAAACAAGGCCACACTAAAGCTACCAGCACAACTATGTTTATTGCAGCATTATTTACCATAGCTAAGACATGGAACCAACCCAGATGCCCCTCAGTAGATGAATGGATCAAGAAGATGTGGTATATATACACAATGGAATTCTATGCCTCCATCAGAAAGAATGACATTTCCCCATTTGTTAGGAAATGGAAAGGCTTGGAAAAAATTATATTAAGTGAAGTAAGCCAGGCCCAAAGAAACATAGGTCCCATGGTTTCCCTTATTTGCAATATCTAGTATAGGTATGAGTCAAGCGGAAAAAGTCAGATAATGTGATGTTAGGAAAACGAAACCTCAAATATGTATTTTAATGTTTTTGTTTCTTTCATGCATGTGTTTCTAACGCATTTATAAGATTATTTCTTTGTTGCTTTGTATGTCCCTCCTCCACAGTGTAACCCCCGCTTTCACTATATTTGATGTCAGTATAACATGTGGAGGAGATGGGGACAAACAAGTCATTTAAGGATTCAGGTGGACCTGTTGCAACAATGAGAAGTACAAAATGTCATGTCAAAACCAGCTTTACAATGTCGGTGGGGGGGGGGGAGGGGGGTATGATTGGGTGGGAGGGAGGGGGGAGGCTGGGAAGGGAGGTGACGGGTAAACAAAGGAGGAGGCTGCAATGCTTGGTAAGAAATGTATGCATTATCCTGCCCATGTAATTGTAACCCCTCTGTACAGTATGTTCTCAAATAAAATAAAATAAAATTTAAAAAAAAAAAACAAAAAAATAAAAATAAAAAAAAAATAAGTGAATGGGACTTTTTCGTTTTTAGTATCTGTTCTAACTTTATTAGTTTATTAGCTTATGTAATTTGTAACAATATGCTCTGTGTTGAACAAGTAATTCTTAAAATCTCTTAACTATTGTTTCTGGTGATCCCAGAACTCCAATTGTCTCTTTCTCCCTCCAATTGCCAAGTCCTGATGGCTCCAGGTTCAAAATATATTTCCTAATTCTCATCACTTTTCGCTAAAATAAAGGGCATTTAGGTATAATAATGGAGATGTCGTTACACAAACAAAGCTATAGATACCATTTATTGTTGGCTTACTCATTGTCAGGCCCAATGCAAACCAGCAAAGATATGATCACTTTTTAGAGGGAATAAAGGAGTTGACCTGCCTGGTTACCTAAACTGGACCAGGCCAGAAAGAAGTTCTGATCAAGAGGAAGGTGAAACCCTGGATTTTATACAAGCTGGTTACACTTACACACACACATCATTAATCAAGACAAAGGTCAGGCCGGGATAATAACATCAGCTCCAGGACAGGTGTGCAATTTTTACCCTGTGGGCCTTCTGTTATAGATTCAGATCGCTTCACCTAATATGCCCCAAACTTACATCCCTAAGCCACATTCCATCAAAATGGCCTTTGTGGGGAACACAGTCGTTTAGGGAGGGGCCACAATGTCTACTTCACTTTTACCTTCACCAACAGACCCTAACTTTCTATCAGGAACCACACTACCACTAGTAGTTTTTCATTAGCTTTCATAGGGAGAGGCAAGCGCAGTTAAGGAACACTCTGCACTCTCCACCCTCGCCCTGGACTCAGCCTTGGCAAACTACCTACCCCTGGGGGGCCACCGGCCGGCCGGCCTAGCTCTGCGGCGGGCGCGCGTGTGCGCAAGCGCAACGGCCTCGGCTGGGGACGGGGGGCGCGGCCGAGGCCCGCACGCAGCGGGCAGGACCTCAGTGAGCGTCTCGTTAGGTCCGGGGCGCAGCGGCGTTGCTAGGAGACGCGAAGGTCGCAGTGTCCATAACCGTCGGGCTCTTTCTGGCCCAGCCCTGGGATCCTTGAGTGGAGAAGGCGCGCACCACAGCGTTCGCCTATGAGCTGGGCCAGGCAAGCGTAACCACCACCGAGAAGGGGACCCGAGGGGCGGACCACCCTCGCTGGGGGCCTCCGGCCGGGGGCCCGGCCCGCCCCGGAAGCCCCGGGCCCGCCCCTTCCGCCCACCGCGCCATCGAGCCTCTCTTCTCTGGTGTTAGGGTAGGTCTTTCATTTGGGCCTTCTTAAATTCGAATCCCACTCTCCCTGGCCACCCCACGCCCCTTCTGGCACCTGTTAACACCTCACGAGCACCCAGTTGGTGGTTTCTAGCAGCACGTTTCAGGGACCAAGGTAAGCAGGCTACCTGTGGGGTCCTCCACCCCTCCCCCCCGTGAGTGACCATTGGGACCTATTGGGGGTCTGCTTTTGTCTGAAAATGAACCATCGATGACATCGGGATGGAGTGTGCAGACCACCCAGTGTTTGCCTGAGACAGTTCAGCAGCAGGCCCAGCAGGCCCAGGAGTGTGACCTTGTCGTGGCCCAAGGATTACATATGAATTTAAAGGTGACCACCAGATCCTGCTGATCCTTAGGAGCAGAAATAATGACATGGAAGAAACACAAGAAGATCAGGGAGGCCAGTGCTCTAAGTGTAAGCCCGCTGGCTGCCTCTGACGAGTCTCCAACAACTTTAGCTTGTCAGACGCTTCAGATGGGTGGGGCGTTCCCAGCAAGCTATATAATAATCATCTTAAGGATGCTTAATAAAATTCATTTTCCACAAACTAGAAACGCAGGCATTACTACTTCGTGTTTGTTAGCATTATAATTCTAACTTTTTTTTTTTTTTTTGGCCACAACACTAAGCAAAGAAATCTTTCAGTTTGAAAGCACAGCAGATCCAGTAATGCCACTATTTCCCCAGAACCACTGAGATGTTTAATCTAGGACTGTGAAATTGATCTTTGCTAATTTTAAATTGTTGATGTGAGATGCAGCTCTTGCTCCAAGAGAATACAAGAGGTTCTATTCCCATGGCCCAGAAACAGAATGACATTATCCTGAAACTTCTGCTTGTGGGTGAGGTTATCCAAACTTTTATAATCTCAGAAGCAAAAGACATGAATCAATGTACTTGCAAAATAAAGGAAAGCAGGGAGATCTCTTCTGTAGATTCCAGATGTTATAGTTGAAAGGCTTCCCCAAGAAAATCACTCGGATGCTTGGTCACATACAAAGGAAAAGGAGTTTTAATGTCAGTGACCTGAAAGCTTGGCGGGTCTATAAGCACAGGTTTTTTGTTTGTTTTGTTTTTCCTTCAGTCTTGAGTCTTGAACTCTGCAGAGGCCTAGGGGCTGTCCTTGAGCTGTTTTGCTCAAGGCTAGCATTCTACCCTTTGAGCCACCGAGCCACTTCCAGTTTTCTGAGTGGTTTGAGATGAGATACTTGGAACCTTGATCCTCTGGTCTAAGCCTCCCGAGTAGCTAGGATTACAGGCATGAGCCACTGGCACCCAGCTTCAAAGGCCAATCTTAAAAGCAATAGAGGAAAGCCAGGCACTGGTGGCTCATGCGTGAAATCCTAGCCACTCAGGAAGCAGAGGTGTGAGGATCTCAATTCAAAGACAGCCGAAGCAGGAAAGACTGTGTGACTCTTCTCCACTTAAGGACTAAAAACAGAAATGGAGCTGTGGCTCAAGTGGAAGAGTGCTAACCTTTAGCCTAAATGTTCAGGGACAGCACACCAGGCTCTGAGTTAAAGCCCCAGAACCAACACCCAAAAAACCCCCCAAAGAACAGGGTGGGGAACAGAAATTAAGGTTGTATTACTGGGCTGGGAAGTTGGCTCAGTGGTAGAGTGCTTGCCTTGCATGCATGAGGCCCTGGGTTCGATTCCTCAGCACCACATATGCAGAAAAAAGCCAGAAGTGGCACAGTGGCTCAAGTGGTACGGCACTGGCCATGAGCTGAAGAGCTAAGGGACAGCACCCAGGCCCAGAGTTCAGCCCCCACAAGCGACAAAAAAAAAAAAAAAGACTATTACTACTTTTAAAAATATATTAATATAGTTCAACTATAAAAGTACCATAAACAAGTTGGGCACTGGTGGCTCATGCCTGTAATCCTAGCTACTCAGGAGGCTGAGATCTGAGGATCTTGGTTCAAAGCCAGCCCAGGCAGGAAAGTCCATGAGACTCTGATCTCCAATAAACCACTAGAAAGGCGGAAGTGGTGCTGTGGCTCAAGTGGTAGAGCACTGGTTTGAGCTGAAGAGCTGAGGGACAGTGCTCAGGCCCAGTGTTCAAGCCCCAACCAACTGACAACAACAACAAAAAGGTACTATAAGCAGTGTAGTCACTACATTCATATGAAAGCAAGTCTGACTTTGCAAATTCCTAAGACAGTGAATGTACATGTTTTCAGGTTTATTTGTGCCATATTTTGTATTTGTATATTCTACATGTAATTTGAATCTTCCTGCTTCTGTGATTGGATTATCAGGCTCTACCACGTTTTTGACTTGTTGTTCATAGCTGGATATTATGCATTAGTGGTACAATGAACTTTTCATGAAAATGAATGGAATTATAGGACCTCTACTGAAACATGACTGACTTGCCATTTTGTCAGGTGTTCCAGATTTTCTGAGCATTTTGATACAATACTCTAATGATGAATTGCCTTAAAATGCAACATGAACCCCAGTCTTAATCAGTGTTATGATCCAAAGTTGAAAACCTTACTTTTCTCTTTACTTTTCTCTGATGTGATCAATATATGATAGTTTGTACAATGGAAAAAGGTGCGAGCATTTATGTAGTTGCTGCTTTGATCAGATCAATCTATATTACTCAAATGGCTTCATTGAAATTAAGTCTGGAACTAAATTGGAACAACTGTGAGGAGTATGGGTTCTGAGTAGAATGTAAATATACTAGAATGTTAAATAAATTCCTCAAAAATCTAGAGGAAGGAAAGGAGAATTAGACCAACTTTTTTTTCATAGAAAAGAATCCATGAGTATTTATGTGTAGTTGATATACAAAATTAAAACAAACGAATCTAAGTCTCCTGATTGTCATCATTATCTTTTATTAATTACAGAAGGAATCTCTGTGTGTGGGGGGGGGGGCTTGAACGTATGGTCTGGACACTGTCCATGAGCTTTTGTGCTATTGCTCTGCCACTTGAGCCACAATTCCAGCTTTTGGTGGTTAACTGGAGATAAAAGTCTTGGCTTTTCCTGCATGGGCTGCCTTTGAACCAAGATCCTCAAGATCAGGCTGCTGAGTAGCTAAGATTACAGGAATGAGCCACCAGCACTGGGCTCAGCAAAGGAACTTTCAAATTAATTAATTAATTAATTACCAGTCCTGGGGCTTGAACTCAGGGTCTGGGCCCTGTCCCTGAACTTGTTTTGCCCATGGTTAGTACTCTATCACTTGAGCCACAGTGCCACTTTTGGCTTTTTCTGTTTATGTGGTACTGAGGAATCAAATCCAGGGCTTCTTGCATGCTAGCCAAGCACTCTACCACTAAGCCACATTCCCAGCCCCTAAACTCTACCTTTTATTCTGAAGATTACCTGAAACTCAGCCTTCTGCCATTTCTCTTTTTGCTACTTATTCCTCTATTAAATCCAGATCAACTAAATTTATTATTCTTGTAAAAGCATTTATTGTGAAATTTCTTTTTTTTATTAAACTTCTCACATCCATCATAAACCATTACATATTTAGGATGATATTCTCATAATGTCAAGGCTGGATATTTCTAATTAATGCAGTGATTATTTTGCTTTGTTTTTCTTATACTTTTGTGTGTTTCTTGGCATTTTTGTCTTAAGAGCATTTGTCATCATTTTGAAAAAATTTTCACAAAATATTAAAGGATCTACTTTGTGAAGTCTGCCTTTGGTGTATTTAACCAACAGAAATATATTGTAAGCCGGGTACATGGCTCATACCTATGGGAGATCTGAGGATCACAGTTCAAAGCCATCTTAGGCAAAAAAGTCTGTGAGACTCCCATCTCCAGTTAACCACCAGAAAACTGGGGTGCTGTGGCTCAAAGTGATAGAGCACTAGCCTTGAGCAAAAGAGCTCAGGGAGCTCTTGAACTCAGTTCAAGCCCCATGACTGATTAATAAATATATATGTATTAAATAGAAAAATGGACTCAAGGAATCATGGTGATAATTTATTTCTGTTAAATGGTATGTTTTAGAGTAATGAAGTAAGTAGCTGAAAAAGACAAGTGCCAGATTACATCTTTGGAACACTAAAGTGTTGGGGGTATAGCTCACTGGTAAACTGGCTTGTCTAGCTTACAACAGAACTGGGGGAAAAATTGGTTGTAGACATTGCATGAATGGACAAACAACTTGAGCTAGAGATGAAGGTCCATAATCACCAGTGACCTACACTGTTTAAAACCAATGATCTCAGTATTGTGACAGCCATATGGCTAGGGGATTTGTGTTACTCTTCCCACATTCATCTATCATAGGACCAATGCCTCAGTGATCCAATAATTGGATCACAGCAACTGAGATCTCTCCAAGCAATGAAGAAGTAGCCATTACTTCCGAGAAGCAAGAAAGGGAAGAAGACGAGAAGACTGAAGCTATATTCCCTTCTTAAGGAAAAAGGAAGAAGAGTACTGCATGTAATCAAATGGAATAGTGGTGGGATATTTGGACAGTCTTCAGAATATATTCAAGGGCATGTATAAAATATACATGCATAGATACACAGATATATGTATGTATGTGTGTATGTGTATGTGTATGTATATACATGTATGTAAATGATTCTAACTATTAGGCTGTTAGGGGGATAGGGAAAAGGGAACAAGAAAGATGGAGGCTGAGTAGGCTTGAAATACATTGCAAGTATGTATAAAGATGGAAAAACAAAAATTGAGTTTTCAGAAACATGCCACCTATTTTAAGGACACTAGAACTAGTGTATACTGGTTTTATTTAGGTCCTGATGGCTGGGGAACATCCAGCTTAGGGGTCTTAGAATGCGGGAAGAATTGCCTGGTACAGAATGGGAACAATTGGGATGCCTTTTGTTGGCTGCCCATGGCCCTGCTTGTACTGATGATTTCATTTGGTTCTCAAGTGGTGTTCTAAGGAGCCAAATGGCCCTTGGGAGAAAAAGGTTCGCTACCCCTAAGTTACACCATAACTCCAAATGCAGTTTTATTTGGTGAAGAAATAATTCTCTATAGAACTGGAGCTGTGGCCCAAAGTGATACAGTGCTAGCCTTATAAGTACAGAGGCTCAGGGACAGAGCCCAGACCCCAAGTTTAAGCCCCATGACCAACCAAAAAGAAAAGATAAATGGTTCTCCGTAGAAGTGGAGCAGTGACTCAAAGTGGTAGAGTATAGCCTTGAGCACAAAAGCTTAGGGTCACTGCTTGGATCCTGAGTTCAAGCCCCATGACCTACAATAAATAAATAGTTTTAGGGCTTGGGAGTATTTTTATTTTGTTTACTGTTCCAAATAAGAATCTTGGAACTGAGTGTTAACATTTTAATAATGTTACTGGTATTCTTAACTGGGATTCATTGTAAAGATGTTGAAAGTTGTTATTGTTATCTATTAATGTTGTTTTAACATCTTTCAGGAAAAAAACTGGTAATAAAGCCACTCTAGCAATGGCTAGTTCGGATGTGAAACCAAAATCAATAAGTCGTGCCAAAAAATGGTCAGAAGAGATAGAAAATCTCTACAGATTTCAGCAAGCAGGCTATCGGGATGAAATTGAATATAAACAAGTGAAACAAGTTTCTATGGTAAGATTTATACCTCTGTAAACCTAAATTTGAAATGAGTTTCTGCTTGCCTAGAATTCATGAAGTCCTGGGTTTGATTCCTTAGTACCACATAAACAGAGAGCAAGAGCTTACGCCTGTAATCCTAGCTACTCAGGAGGCTGAGATCTGAGGAGTGCAGTTCAAAGCCAGTCCAGGCAGGAAAGTCAGTGAGACGCTTTATCTCCAATAAACCACCAGAAAACCGGAAGTGGTGCTATGACTCAGGTGGTAGAGTGCTTGCCTTGAGCAGTTCAAAGCCAGCCCAGGCAGGAAAGTCAGTGAGACTCTTATCTCCAATAAACCACCAGTAAACCGGAAGTGGTGCTATGACTCAGGTGGTAGAGTGCTTGCCTTGAGCTGAAGAGCTGAGGGACAGCACCCATGCCCAGAGTTCAAGCCCCATGAAGCACCCATGCCCAGAGATTAAGCCCCATGACCAACAACAACAACAAAAAAAAACCAAACCAAAAACCAAACCAAAACAAAACAAAAAAACAGAAAAAGCCACAAGTGGTGCTGTGGCTCAAGTGGTAGAATGCTAGCCTTGAGCAAAAGAAGATCAGGGACAGTGCCCAGGCTCTTGAGTTCAAGCCCCAGGACTGGCAAAAAAAAGAATATATTAATATATATGCATTTAAAAGCAAAGGAAATGGGAGATAATGACAAGAAGCATTGTATTCATAACCTGACTGAAAGACTGGTAACCCATTTGAACAGCTACATCATCATCATCATCATCAACATAAACACTGGGCTCAGTACCTTGAATTTATAACCTTACTTGGGAGACAGAGATCAGGACATCACAGTTTGCAGCTTAGTATAAACAGGAAAAAATGTGTGAGACTCTTCTCTCAGCCATTGGTTAGACATGGTGTTGCATACCTAGGCAGGGGAAGCATGGAGGCTGGGCATGGTAGCATACGCCTGTCATCCTAGTGGCATGGGAAACACAAATAGGAGGATCACAATCCAGACCATCCTAGGAATAAATGAAGACCCTATCTAAAAATAAATAAAAGACTTGGTAGATTCATTTGGCTGGTATGAAGGCTTGCCTAGCAAGCTCAAGGCCCTAAGGTTTACTCACCCTGAGAAAAACAAGCAAACACAAAGCCAAATAACCAAAGAATAGTTGAAGGGAATTATGAAACTCTCATTCAGGGGGAGACTGAGCCTCAGAAAGATGATTTGCCAGGCAGCTTTGGCACATTCAGAATGCTCTCAGCTGTTATTGAGTAACTGAGCTCTTATACAAGTGAGCCATTAATGGTAGACAATGACATGTCCTTTTACCTCAGATAATTTCATAATCAGATAGGCAGATTGTTTTGTAACTCTTATTTCCTTCCTATGAATTCACCCATGAATAACAGAGGGATTCAATCATATTTTAATGGAGATTGTCAATGAGAAAACACTTACAGCTGGTACCTAGAGGCTCACACAAATAATTCTAACTACTCAAGAGGCTGATATCTAAGAACTGAGGTTTGAAGCCAGCCCTAGCAGAAAAGTTCTTGATATTCTTACCTGAAATTTTTTTTTAAAAAAAGGAAAAACAGTGAAAAAAAACTAAGGGACAGCATCTAGATACTGACTTCACACACATACCCAAACAAAATACTCATTAAAGAACTTGAGGTATGGCTTAGGTGATAAAGCACCAGCTATGAGTGAAAAAAAAAGCCACACCCTGAGCCCTAGTATGAGCATGTACGTGTGTGCATACACACATGCGCATGTGCACACACAAATACTGATTAAGTGAAGAGTTGATGACTGATTTTAACGTACCTGTCTTCTCATAGCAACTGAGGTCTTACTCAGACCTCATTACCAAAAGATAGTGTCCAAGGCTTTTAAATAAGAAAAACACAAGCATTATTATTTTAATGCTGTTCAAGAATATTTTTAATACCTTGTCTTAAGGTTGGGATGCCAAGACAAGTGTAGTGGCTCACATCTCTAATCTTACCTACCAAGGCAGTTAAAGATGGCCAGCCCAGGAAAATAAAAGTTTTGAGACTCTACATCTCAACCAGTAAAATGTACTAGGTGCAGGTCTTTCATCACAGGAATCATAAGTAGGGTCATGGTATAAGCTAACCTGAGCAAACAAAGCAAGACTATTAAAAAAAAAGTTTCCAGATACCAATGGCTCATACCTGTAAGCCCCACATACTCAGGAAACTAGGTTCTGAAGATTGCGGCTTGAAGCCAGCCTGGGTGGCAAAGTCCATGAAGTCTCTTATGTCCAGTTAGAGACAAAAGAATCTGGCAGTAGTTCTAGTGGTGGAACATGCACCTAGAACAGAATAGCACAAGGCTCAGGACTGGCAAAACAACAGCTGCCATGGGGAAACTCAGTGCCAAGTGCATGAGGGAGCGAGAGAAGCTAGTGCTTGGCCCTGAGAAATGCAGTGAAGCAGTTGAAAATAGGTTTTGGAGTCCATGGGTTCAGCATTTGTTTCCTGACTCTACTTCTTTCTGGCTGGCTCCACTTGCATTTTCTCACTGTAAAATAACACTGACTAAATAATGTTTAGTCAATGACTGATGCTGTCATTAATGAGCAAGAACTATCTTAGAGTACAAAATAAGTATCTACAATAAAGCCAGATGGTAGGCAAAGTATGGTGCTTTTAAGAAAAAGAATTTAATCCCAGCTACTTGGTAGGTGTAGATCAGAAGGATCACAGTTTGAGACTAGCCCATGTGAAAAAAAAAATTAGTGAAGCTCCATCTTAACCAATAGTTGAGTGTGGTGGCATGTATCTGCCATTCCAGCTGCTTGGGAAGCATAAGTAGGAAAAATCACACCATAAACGGGGAAATAGAATCCCTATCCCCCAAAACAAAGCAAAAAAACACTAGAGCCTAACTCAACTGGTAGAGCAACATCTTAGCTAGCACGGGTCTCTGAGTTCAAACCTCAGTGTTACCAGAGAAAGAAAAATGGAAAAGCAAAAAGAATTTCTGAGGAAGATAAAATGACTTTTGTGGGGTTGGTCCTCAGAAAAACCTTCATGTTCCTCAGAGTAGATGCAGTGCATTTGAAAGACAAATCGGATGCTAGCTGAAGGCTTGCCTGAGATTGGAGTGTCCCTTTCAATGTGCAGCAAGGTGAAGGCTAGAGTAACGCTCCTTTTCCTTACTGATGGAAGAGCATACACTCTCCTGGGTGCTGTTAGAGCCTGTCAACCTCACTACCTGAGCAGAAGGTAGGAGGACTCAAGAATTGTACCATTGCATGGCATCATAGAAAGAAGGTCCAGACAAAACAACAAGGAAGTTCAAAGCCAATAGGAAGAGCCGGGAACCAGTGGTGCACATCTTTAATCCTAGCTATTCAAAGGCCAAGATCTGAGGTTTGTAGTTGGAAGCCAGCCTGGGCAGAAAAGTCCATGACACTTGCACCTCCAAATAAGCACTTACATTCCAGAAGTGGAGCTGTGGCTCTAGTGGTTGAGTGCTAGCTTTTGAGCACAAAAGTTCAGGGGCAGCCCTGAGTTTAAGCCCCATGACTGGCACAAAGGGATATAAAAAAGAAGAGATAGAAAAAAGAAAAATGTCTGGAAACCATGAGCACAGGCCCAGTCTAGCTGTGTTTAGGATTGTCCCTTATAATTGCTCTGAAGATTCTGTAAAGAAAGGGTACACTATTTATTTGTTGAACAAGATATTCTTGAGCTGGTTTCCAATGGCTCTCAACTGTTAGAGGTTGAGCTCTGAGGATCAGTATTCAAAGCTAGCCTGGCAGGGAAGTCCATGAGACTCTTCTCTCCAGTTACTACAAAAAAAAAAATGCTGGAAATAGAGCTGTGTGGCTCAAGTGATAGAGTGCTACCTTTGAGCAAAAACGGTCAGGGACAGTGTCCAGGACCTGAGTTCAAGCCCCATTACTGCACACGCATGCTCTATTTCCATTTCCAGCCTTTTGTTGTTGACACACACACACACAAGTTAATCTTTGAGACTTGTAACTAACTTTTAAAAATACCTCCTTTCCCAGCTGAGGCACAAAGGAGACATGGCATACTGCTAGAATGGTTTGCTGTGTTGCTATAAAGTAAATGTCACAGGCCCAGTGCCGGTGGCTCACGCCTATAATCCTAGCTACCCAGGAGGCTGAGACAGCACCCAGGCCCAGAGTTTAAGTCCCACGACCAACAAAAACAAAAAACAAAAACCTAAATGTCACAGAAGCAACCAATCCTCTCAAATTCTATTTTATGCATAATAAATGAGACAAAAAATGCAAAAGTCAGGCATAATGATGCATGCTTGTAATCCCAGCACTCAACATGGAGGAGGATCTCCCATTCAAAGCCAGTCTAGGGTTCATAGCAAGCTCAAGGTGAACCTGAGCAGCATAATGGAATCTTGTATCAAAAACAGAGTCAGGCACCTGTGGCTCATGCCTATAATCCTAGCTCCTCAGGAGGCTGAGATCTGAGGATGGAGGTTCAAAGCCAGCCCAGTCAGGAAAGTCTGTAAAACACTTATCTCCAATAAGCCACTCAGAAAACTGGAAGTGGCGCTGTGACTCAAGTGGTAGAGTGCTCATCTTGAGCTAAAGAGTTGAGGGACAGCACCCAGGCCCAGAGTTCAAGCCCCACAAATGACAAAAAACAAAAACAAAACAAAAACCAGAAAACATTAGTAGAAAGTAAAAGACCTGGCAGCCATCTTTTCTTCCAACGGAAAGCTGGGAATCACATGTGTGGAACATGAAAGAGAAGGGTTTCTGTGTGAATGGTGCTGAAGAATAAGATAAACAAGGTTTGGTTTTCTAAAACTGAAATAATGGGAAGTTGACAGATCCAGGGGGAACATAAAAAAAAAACCAATAGCACATTGACCTAACCAGGAAGACATAACTTTGAATTTGGAAAGGGGAAGGAAATGTTCAAATCAGATAAAGTCAAAGAAGAAAGTGTAAAATAAGGGCTTATTTAAAAAAAAACAAAAACAGTAGCTGGGCGTGGTGGCTCAAGGCTATAATCCTATTTGCAGAATATGGGGAATGGCCATTAAAGCCAGCCCAGTGAAGAAGTTCATGAGACTCTATTTCAATCTGATTGGATGTGGTAGTGCGTGTCTATTACCACAGCTATGAGGAGATGCACAATAGATGTGGGTGGCATTACTCCCAGCAACATGGGGAAGCACAAGAAGAAGGATTATAATCCAGTAAGCCTAGGCATAAGCAAGACCCCACCCCCCGAAAAAAGTAAGGGGCTGGAGATGTGGCTCAAGCAATAAGAGTACCAGTTTCCTAACAAGTGTCAAGGCCCTAATGTCAGTCCCCAGTACTATGCCCCCCACTACCCAAAACAAAGAGAAGCATGATATTTATTTAAGAAAAGACCATGGGGGCAAGGAAAGATTGCTGAGGACTTTGTATTCATGACCTCAAGTTTCTATTAAAAATGGTGGACATCAGGCGGGGCAGTGGCTCACACCTGTAATCCAAGTGAATCAGGAGGCTGAGATCTGAGTTTGAAGCCAGCTGGGGCAGTAAAGCCTATGAGACTCAATTAACTACTAGAAAACTGGAAGTAGAGCAGTAGCTCAAAATGGTAGAGCACTAGGCTTGAGCACACACACACACAAGCTCAGAAACAGCGCCCAGGCCCTGAGTTCCAGCCCCACAACCAAGAAAAATAAAGAAAAATGGACATCTACGTGAACTTGAACTTTGGGCACCTTTAGCTATGTTTAGCAGTCACTTGCAGTAGTCCCTGCATGATCTCCATCATCTGCAGTGGTTGCTTTTTATCCTGAGGCCTGGACCTATCCCTGGTCGCCATTTTCTCCTGAGGGTGGTAGTGGACAAAATGACAGAAAGAAGGCAGAGACCTCAACAGATGAGAACAGGCTTTACTCCTGGCTGCAGGAGACTGCATGTAACACCAGAGTCAGAGAAACAAGGAGTGGGGAGTGGGGGTGTGTTTTAAGGTTTTTTGTTTTTTTAAATAAACTCAAATGTAAGATCTTCTCTGGAATGTCTTTGTCTTGTCCTATTGGGGGTTTATTGTGCAAATTATACTGTTTGGGGTTTTATGGTAGGGTATCTACTCTTCTGATGCCAACAGTCCTGTAATTTCAGATAAGGTCAGGATGAAGTTTTCTTAAGAATTACGGGGGAGGGGGGTTGTTGGGGAAAAGGGGTTAGTGGGCCTTGTGAGCAACATAGTGTTAGGAGAAAAAAGCAGATTCCCATCAGGGAGGCCTTACTTTTATCTGGAGTGCTAGGTTACCTTGGCCACAGTGTAGACATTTGGATCTACAAAGCAGATTCTAGTGAGAAGCCCTGGACCAGTTCTACAGTCTAGATTGCAAGTTTGATGTATGTCCAATACCATTTTAAAACTTGTTTTTGGGGGCTGGAAAGGTGGCTCAGTGGTAGAGCACTTGCCTTGCATGCATGAGGCCCTGGGTTTGATTCCTCAGCACCATAAGCAGAAAAAAAAAAAAGCCGGAAGTGGTGCTGTGGCTCAAGTGGTAGAGTGCTAGCCTTGAGCTGAAGAGCTGAGGGACAGCGCCCAGGCCCAGAGTTCAGGCCCACTACGGGACCCAAAAACAAACAAAAAACTTGTTTTTGGTGGTACTTGGATATTTGAACTTGGGACCTTGTGCTTGCAAGGCTAGGGCTCTACACTTGAGTCTACACCCTTAGACCAGGTTTTTTTCTTTCTTTTTTTTTTTTTTTCTTTCTTTTTTGTTTTGTTTTGCTTTGCTTTTTGACATAGAGTCTTGTAAATTTTCTGCCAGGTTGACTTCAAACCAAGAACCTTCCAAGTCATTAGGACTTTAGCTGTGAGCCACCAGCACCTGGCTTCAATTGCTGACCACTTAAAAGTTTTGGTACTTCCTTTTTTTTTTTTGGTCAGTCGCAGGGCTTGAACTCGGAGCCTTGACGTTGTCCCTGAGCCTCTTTGTGCTCAAGGCTAGTGCTCTACCACAGGAGTCACAGTGCCACCTCTGGTTTGTTAGTGGTTAATTAGAGAAAAGAGTCTCACGGGGACTTTTCTACCCAGACTGGCTTTGAAACATGATCCTCAGATCTCAGCCTCCTGGGTAGCTAGGATTACAGGCATGAGCCGCTAGCGCCCGGCAATACTTCAGTGTTTAAAATGACAGTTGTGCTTTTAACTATTTGATAGTGAAATGGGAGGTAAAGTAAAACAGGCATTACTGTGTTTATATTTTTGTTTTTAATTGTGCAGGTAGACCGCTGGCCAGAGACAGGATATGTGAAGAAACTCCAGAGGAGGGACAATACCTTCTATTACTATAACAAGCAGAGGGAGTGTGATGACAAGGAGGTGCACAAAGTGAAGATTTATGCTTACTGACCTCTCCTTTGTACCACTTGGTGATGCTTTAACATTTGTGGATTCCGTTCTGCAGCACGTGAATGCGACTTTCCCGAACAATTCAAAGTACATAAGTATTGTGACTTTCATTGGCTGATCTTCATGGATTTGAAACACAAAAGCCAGGAAACTTGGCTTCTACTAATTATCCTATCCTGTTCAGAAATAGAGCTGCAGATATATTAAAGATGTTCCCTTCTTGGCCCTAATATTTCTGACTGTTTAAACCATTCTGCTTTGAGAGAAATAGGTCCATTTGAAGCCATTGCAAGTGGTAAGGCTGGTGTTATTATTTTCTTATAGCAGATCATGCTCTACCCAACACCCCTGCTCACTTTCACCTCTTTGTGACCACATCGCTGGGCTGTCAGCACAGCTTTTCTTGCCTGTAGAGTCCTTTGCCACTTCCTTGACAGATGTGAAGTACCAAGAGTAACACCCACTTGGGAGTGGCCCTCCCAGTAATTGCCAGTGAATAACTAGACAGATGGGGGAATACTGCCTAATTTCCCCAGTAACATGTTAACTGAGAAGTGTCTTCTGCTAGCTTTCTGAGTTTCCTAGTAAGGGTTGACACTTGGGCCAACTGGATAGAATATTGTGTTGGTCCCTGTCTGTCCTGCACTCTACCAGCGCTTGTTTCCCTCCTGAATCACCCACCTCCTTGCACTTAAGAATTGCCCTAGGATCAGTGTCTGAGTCCCCTCACCTGAGACCACTTACTTTACCTTGTCTGAAATCACTGTGCAAGTCAGTAGCCCACTGTTCACGAATAACAAGGCATGGTCAACCATTAGGCCTTAAGAAATTGCCTTCGTTGCTTGTTTTCTCTCATATGAGGAAACTAGATCTAAAATACACATGGGGCTGGGAATGTGGCTTAGTGGTACAGTGCTTGCCTCATATGCATGAAGTCCTGGGTTTGATTCCTCAGAGCTACATTAACAAGAAAAGCTGGAAGTGGCAATGTGGCTCAAGTAATGGAGTGCTAGCCTTGAGCAAAAGAAGCTCAGGGACAGTACCCAGGCCCTGAGTTCAAGCCCCAGGACTGGCAAAAAACCCTGAAATACACTTGGACATAAACAGGACTCTTAAGCATTCACATATAGGAAGACCAAAGGAGGATGTTCTTAGGGGAGGAACATGAAGGTCCAATACCTCTGTGCCTCTGATCATATAATATTTATTGGAACAAAGTCCAGGAAATGGAAACAAGAGTTTCATTTTTATTTTTGTATCATTTGTTCCTTTATCTGTCTTTGGAGGGAGAGAGCAAGGGGGGCACAGAAGTGGAGAGACAAAGAGTGAACAAATGCAGCAGTGGTACTCAGTAGATATCATGTCAAAAATGAACCCTACAATTTGTGGATATGGATGGGAGGGAAAAACTGGGAGAGAGCAAAGGAAGGGGGTGATATTGTCCAAAAAGAAATGTGTCCCTTACCTGACATGAAATGGTAACCCTTCTGTATATCACCTTTATACTTACAGTAAAAAAAAAAAAAAAAAAACCAATAAAAAAGTAATTGCCTTCAGAAGAATGGCAAGTAAACACATAAGGCTATGCACAACATCAATAAAGAAAATTCAAAACAACCTTGAGATTCCATCTCACCCTACTTAGACTGGCTAACATTGAGAAATGGAACAATAAATGTTGGTAGCATGTGGGGAAAAGGGAACCCTGTTGCATTGTTAGTGGGAATGTAAACCAGTACAGCCACTCTGGATGGCGGTGTGGAAGTTCCTACACACACACACACACACACACACACACACACACACACACACTAAAAAAAACCACCAAAAACCTAGAATTTCCCTATGACTCAGCCATACCACTTTTGAGCATCTGCCCAGAACACCACAAGTCAGGATACTGTAAGACACTTGCACATCCATGTTCATTATAGCACTATTCAAAATAGCCAAATTATGGAAACAACCCAGATGCCCTACAATAGATGAGTGGATCCAAAAAAAATGTATTTATACCCAATGAAATCTCACTCATTCTTTGGAAAGAATAAGACGTCATTTGCAGAGAAATGGAGGGACATAGAACAAATCATGAGGTAAGCCAAACTCAAACAACACAGGTTTTCTCTCATATGTGGAAGCTATATCTAAAATACACTAGGGCGTGGTAACTTACACAAGGCTCTAGGCCTTCACATATAATCAGACTAAAGGAGGATATTCTCAGGGAAGAAACCCAAAGGCTTAATGACTCTGAAAATTTAAAATACTATTTATCAGGGGCGGTCTGCAGATCACCCACGCAGAAGCTGCCTGAGGCACCGGAGTCAGACCCGCTGATCACAACGACCCGGCAGGGGCCGCCAGGGTCCCAGTGGCACAGGGGGCTGCCTGCAGATCACCCGCGCAGAAGCCGCCTGAGCATGGACACTGTGGACCCGACAGCTTCGACAGAGGCAGAGACAGAAGAGAATCACACAGAGCCACCACCGCCCAGCCCAGCCTGCAACTGAACTCGGATTGCAACAGCAACTGACGACCTACACCACACAGAAACAACTAGCTCCAGGGTGAGTACCCCACAGGGGACAGTGTATCCCTCAAGGGAGACGAGCTGGAGGGAATCCCCAGACCCTGACCCAGACTCCCTACCCGAACACCCAGACCACAGGACCCACTAAAAATGGGAACTGTTCGAGAGCTCCACCAGCCCATGGAGCACACTCTGCTGGCCAGGCTAGGGCAAGAAAGCCCCTGGAAGGGAGCTTAAACGCCCAAGCCAGGAACAGCGCCTCTGGGTCAAGACAACCAACAGTAGAAGAAATTTGAACTGTGTACCCCAGGCTGCATAACCTAGGTGGTATACACAGCAGCACAGGCCCAACGAGCGCGCTCCAGGTGGGGGGCCGGAACTAGGCCTGGGGATCTGGCGCCTGAACAACACAACCAACTCCTCCCAACTGAAGTCAAAAACTGAACATACGCCTCAGCAGAGGGGAGAAAAACGGGGAACTGCACCCCCTAGGAGGCATGCCTGTGACAACAAAAGACCTGGAGGCTCAGGACAAGAGAAGCCCAAACCCCACCAAAACCCCACCCATATACTCTAGCCTGGGAATTGGGCAACACAGGCCGCCAGCACCTGATAGTAGGCAGGAGCTCAGGCTGATAAGGCGGCTCAGCAGTAGAGTGATAGTCTTGGATGCATGAGGCCCTGGATCTGATTCCTCAGCATCACAAAAGCAAAAAGGGTCAGAAGTGGTGCTGTGGCTCAAGTGGTAGGGTGCCAGCCTTGAGCTGAAGAGCTGAGGGACAGCACCCAAACCTAGAGTTCAAGCTCACAACCAGCCCAAAACAAACAAACAAACAAAAACACATCAGGAGCCCATAGCAGACTCCAGCATCTGGGAGAGTGCATCCAGAGCATCTGATCTTGCCAAGAGCATCCGTAGGAGCAAACACAAGCAGTCTAGGCTGCTCAACCCTTCCAAAGGCAGGAATTGCCAGCAATCTACAGCAGAGTGTCGAGAATCCTAAGTAGGTCAGAACAGCAGCTGGAAGTAGGCTCCCAACAGAACCCAGATCAGGCACAGACTCTCTCTACCAATACAGAATCAGCAACCAAGCAAAGACAGACACACCAAAACAAAATTGCAGATTAGTCTCCCGAACCCCCATGCGAAAATCACAGAGAAAAATTACAAGGTTTATCAACACCCAGGATAGCAAGCTCACCTCAAAAGCCAGCAGCCACGCAGGGGAGAGCCCCAGTGGGAGCAAAGCAGGAATGGAAGACAAAAGCTACATCCAAGGGTTGCTGGAGGCAATGACTCAAGAAATAAAGCAAGAAATAGATCAGAAATTTAAAGAGCACAAGGATGAACTATCAAAAGAGATACAGGATATCAAACAAGAGATGCATGCAAAAATAGAAGCTGCACAAACCTCAGTAAGAAGTGAGATAAATGCCAAATTAGAGATAATGCATACTGATCTCACCTCATTAAGAGGTGAGATCAGTACTATGAGAACCAACATCGAATCCATAAAGGAATCAATTTCCTCCATGAAAACCACAATAGAAGCCACGGTCAACAGAGTGAACGAAATGGAAGGTAGAGTGTCAGATACAGAAGACAGAATACACCAACTGGACCAAAAAGTGACAGATATGGAAAAATCACTCAAACCAAAGGGAAATTCAAGAGCAAGCAGATAATGCCAAGAAATTTAACCTTTGTATAATTGGAATGGATGGAGGTGAGGAATTTCAGAACAAGGGAATGCAACACCTATTCAACAAGATAATCGGTGAAAATTTTCCCCACCTCAAAAAAGAACGTCTTACCTACATAACAGAAGCATATAGAACACCCAACAAGCAAGATCCCAGGAGAAACACTTCTAGACACATTATAGTAAAAATGATGGATCTGAATAATAAGGAAACAATCTTGCATGCAGCAAAAATGAAGAAGGAGCTATACTACAATGGGAAAAAAATTAGAATCACTGCAGATCTCTCCACGCAAACAATGAACGCAAGAAAGGCCTGGGAAAGCACCATACGAGCCCTGAGAGCCAATAACTGCCAACCCAGACTGATATTCTCGGCAAAGCTAGCATTCACATTCAATGCAGAACTGAAATTTTTTAATAGCAAAGAAAAACTAAATGAATACATAAACATTAATACAGCATTACAAAGAATTCTAAGAGAGGGGACACAACCTGAAGAAAGCAACCAGGAACTGGGACCTGCCCCAAACAGGCATTACTCAAAGTCTAACTGAGCAAGCACAGGAGGAAAGGAAAGAAGAAAAACTTAGGAAAACGGAATGACAGGGACAACAATGCATCTCTCTATACTTTCTCTTAATATTAATGGGCTTAATTCACCAATCAAAAGAAAATGAACTGCAGACTGGATCAGAAAACAAGACCCATCCATCTGTTTGCCTTCAGGAGACCCACCTCTCAGCCAAACATACAAATAAATTCAGAGTAAAGGGTTGGAAAAGGATCTACCAATCAAATGCCCCCAATAAGAAAGCAGGTGTAGCTATCCTGATAGCTGACAAAATAAACTTTTCATTAAAATCAGTACAGAAAGACAAGGACGGACACTACATATTAATACAGGGAACAATCCAAGAGGAGGATATTACCATCATCAACTTATATGCCCCAAATATTGGTGCACCCAGATATGTTAAACAAACGCTCTCA